ACAAAGCAGACAAAAAACATACACTGGGGAAAATAATTACTTTTCAATAAATGGTACTGGGAAAATTGGATAGCCACTTGTAGAAGACTGAAACAGGATCTGCACCTCTCACCTCTCACAAAAATCAACTCACAACAGATAACAGACTTAAACCCTAAGGCATGAAACCATAAGAATTCTAGAAGAAAATGTTGGAAAAACTCTTATAGACATCAGCCTAGGCAAAGAATACCCCAAAAGCAATCACAACAACAACAAAAAGAAATGGGACCTGATCTAATTAAAAAGCTTCTGCACAGCCAAGGAAACAATCATTAGAGTGAATATACAACCTACAGAATGGGAGAAAATATTTGCGTGGTATACATCCAATAGAAGGCTTATAACTAGAATCTATATAGAACTAAGGAGAATCAGCAAGAAAAAAATCAAACAACCCCATTAAAAAGTGGGCAAAGGACATGAACAGAAACTTTTCAAAAGAAGATAAAGACTAATGGCCAAGAAACTTATGAAGAAAATGCTCAACATCTCTAATCAAGGAAATACAAATCAAAACCACAGTGAGAGATCACTTAACTCCAGTGAGAATGGCTTTTATCAAAAAGTCCCAAAACAGCAGATGCTGGTGTGGATGTGGAGAGATAGGGACACTCTTACACTGCTGATGGGACTGCAAACTAGTAGTAAGTGTGGAAATTCTTCAAAGAACTAAATGTAGAACTACCATTTGATCCAACAATCTCACTACTGGGTATTTACCCGAAGGGAAAAAAAAGGCATTCTATAAAAAAGACATCTGCACTCAAATATTTGTAGCAGTACAATTCACAATTGCAAAGATGTGGAAAAAATCCAAGTGCCGTGAACACATGAGTTTATTAATCAAATGTGGTATATATATACCATGAAGTACTACTCAGCCATTAAAAAAATACCTCTATGTCATTCTGGATGTAGCTGGAACCCATTCTTCTAAGTGAAGTATCACAAGAATGGAAAAACAAACACCACATGTACTCACCATTAAATTGGTACTAATCATTCAGCACTTATCTGCATATATGGAAGTAACATTCATCGGGTGTCGGGCAGGTGGGTGTTAGGGGAAGGGATGGCTAAATTCACACCTAATGGGTGCAGTGTGTGCTGTCTGGGGGATGGGCATGCTTGTAGCTTTGACTCAGGTGGTGCAAAGGCATTTGCACTCCTATAATATACTGAAATAAAAAAACCAAGTATATAGGCATCTACTACATTATATTCTATGACAGAGTTCTTAGCTTTTCTCTTGTAAGTAGTGGGAGTTTTCTTCAAATGATTTTTGTCACTGTACTATCTGCTGGTCCTCCCCTTATTGTTTAATTTATAAGAAGATACTTGAGAATCTCTGCTGAATGTTTAGGGCTTTTCCAAGCACAGTTTAAAAAAATCATCTGCTAGTTAAAAAAAAAAAAAGGAAACAAGGAAGGAAGGGAAGGTGGGAAGGAAGGAAATCTTTTATCTGCAATTCAGTGTAGTTTCCAAAAATTAAGTGAAAGCTTACGTATTCTAAATTCTAGGTTAAATCTTATTTAAAAGTCTTTGAACAGTTCTTGAATTTTCACTAATCTTTTGGATTAGCTGAAATCTTTGAAATTAGATAACATCAACAAAATAGACAAATGAAGGGGAAAAAGTTTAATAGGTAGGAAAAAATTTTGAACTATATTTTATTATCATAACTTGTGATATGCTAATATAGAAAATGCAACTGCTGCGAAATACAAAAAGTAAATGGATTTAAGAGAAATCTAGAGAAACATGTAAAAATGAATATTAAAGGCCTTGTAAATTTGCAATATGAAATGAATGCACAAAATAGAGGAACTCTTTAAAAAAAAAAAAAGACTGATAGACTGAGCGGGGTATGGTGGTGTGAGCCTTGAGCCCAGGGGTTTGAGTCTGCAGTGAGCTATGATCTATGATCGTGGCACCACTACCCTCTAGCCAGGTCAACAATAGAGCAAGATCCTGTCTGAAAAAAAAGGAAAAAAAAAAACAATATACTGAAATAGCCAAAGCAGCATAGGTACCTGAACAGTGAGAAAATGCTCATTCTCATGAGTGCTGCTAGAAAGTTTAGGCAACTCGGAAAGGGCCTTGGGCAACAATTTAGACCTGACTTATGGGTCAATCAGCTGATACTTTTTTTTTTTTTGGATAGAGGATACAGTGGATAAAGCAATGACCTTTGTAACCTGTGAACCTGTATTTGAATCATCTTCTCTCCTTTTAAATTTGCAGAGCTACCTTTTCTTCCTTAGAAGAATAATGCCTATTATCTCAAAAGATTATTGTGAGGCACAAATCATATAGGTTGAAGTCCTTTGGGTTTTAAGCCTTTGTTGTGTAGTTCCTAGGTATTTCCTCTTTTAATAATTGTTTTTAGTAATTGTTTACCTCTCCAGCTCTTTGTGGCAGGACAATGTGTATGAAGAAGTGGTTCATGGTACTGAGAAGAATGCTGGGGTCTAGGAGTTCTTGGTTATAAATTCTATTCCAACTACCTACTCAGTCTCTTTTTTGTCATGAGACTATATTATTTCTGTGTTCCCTCAGACCTCAAAGATTTGTGAGTAATCTGTATAATATTTATAAAGTACGAAGTTTGCCATTGTGGCCCAAAAGCAAGCGTAGACAATATATAAATGAACTAGCAGCCTGTTTTCCAGTAAAACTATATTTGTAGAAATAGGCAGCTTTTTCCAGCCTTAGTTTAGTAGCTCCTTCTTATAGATCACATGTTTATCATGTAAAATGTTACATAATAATTTCTTAATATAATTTACTTAATACTTTTTGTATTTGAACTTTTTAGGACATTTGTTTTTACCATTTCTATTATACCACAAGTGTCTTCCTGTGTATAGCATTGTGCATGTGTATGTGTGTGTGTGTGTGTGTGTGTATGACAATTTCTATAAGATAACTCTCAAGAACTCTTAAAACATTGTCAGATTGTTTTTCAAAACAGCAGAGGCAGGAGGGAGACAGGCCAGTGCCACCTGTCTTAGCAGCGAGCAGCACAGGAGAAGAGCATGTGATCGAGAACCTGTGCCAAAGAGAAACACAGGATAGAACTCTAAGGGGTTTAGGTTACATCCTATGACGTTACTATGTTAGACTGTTTGATTTATAAAAACAGAAGTTTTATATAGTTTAGTATAATAAAAATAAATTTTATTAACCTTTTCATATAACACACCCTCCAACATTGCTGTCCAGTAATGTCCTAGGCCTTTGTTTCAGTGTTCCTCATCCTGAGTTGGGGCTTTAGCAGGGACTTGAGGAGTGGTGGGCCAGAGGTAAGCAGGTGGGCTTCAGAGTATGATGAACCAAGATAACAGTCACAGTGTGCGTGAGTAGCCCAGAGTAACTCATCCTATGCTGTGTAGCTTAGTGAGTGGTGAATCCCAGGATTCAGGTCCAGCTCTGGGATTCTAAGGCCATACATTTTTAACTCTACCCCAAAATATGATTTGAATTCAGAGAGAATCAGATGCCATAATGTAATGTTAGCTTAAAGTGTAGTTTAGCCCACACATTTCCTTTAAACTAGAGGTTGGTGAACTACAGGCCTATTTTTCTAAGAAAAGTTGTATTGGAACATGACCTAGCTCATTCATTTATGTATTCTCTGTGCAGCTTTTAGGTTGGGTAGTTGTGACTGAGGCATTCTTGCCTGCAAACCTAAAATATTTACTATCCGGCCCTTAAAAAAGCAGTTTGCCAACCTCCGCAAACAGGTAAAGTAGCGTTCGTTAGATTAGAAATCTGCAAACTGCAGCCCATGGGGCCAAAACCAAACACACTGCCTGTTTTCATATGTAAAAGTTTTATTGAAATGTGGTTGACCGCTGTGCTGATTCATTATATTTATGTCTTGCATTTGACTACTTTTGTGCTATAATGGCGGTGTTGAATAGTTGCAACAAACCTTAATGGCCTGCAAAGCCTAAAATATTTATTGTCTGGTCATTAGAGGAAATGTTTCCCAATCCCTGCATTTGATCACAGAATTCCAGAATGTTTATTCCTTTGAGGGTATTTTTTTTTTCTTGTATCCTTATTTTACAAATGAAAGGACTAAAGCCTAGTAAAGTCATGCCTGAGGTTCTATAAATAGTCTATTCCATTAAATTAAATCAGAGGCTGAAATTGTGTGTGCCCAAGTTTCTCCTCATACACAATCAGCACAACATTTTCCTTTTCTCCCTCTCACATACTACACTCTCATTCTAGATCATATACCCCTTCTCCATGAGGAGATGTTATGACATGAGGGTAATTAGGCTCTGGAGCCAAAGTGTCTTAGTTCAAATCCTGGATCTATCACTTTATGGTTATTTTTCAATGTTAACATTGAAATAAGACAAAGGGCCATATTAGTGGAAGGAAAATTGAATAATCAGGTTACTTTTAACCCCTCATAATCAGAATATCCTAGTGAATTGGAAGACTGAGAGAAAAAACCAGGATCATATTTAGTTTTATAAAAACTTTATGAAGTTCTTTTAGTTTCTTGATATGGGTCTTGTCTAGGTAGAAAAATACAGTCTGATACACTGAGCAGAATTTTTTTCTGCCACTTCACAGCTGTGTTGTCTGATAGGAGTTCCTTGTCCTCTGTCTGGGCTTCCACTCCTTGTTGGTGAAATGGGGCAATTGCGCAATTGAAGTAACTTCTGTCAAATGTCTTGAATGTGAAAGATGCTCCAGTTTTTCCCCTTGCCTTTCATTCCTATAAGAGTTTCATTATGGACATTTGTTTAGTGGCCAACAATGCTATCCATAGGAAAGTTTGTTTCTCTTTCTTTTCTAGAATAATTCTCAGAATGTAACCTCTCAGGGCAAAATTTCTGTTTTGAGTGACAAAGGGTGAAAAGGGAGAGCCAGAAATGGACCTGAGAGTTGAGCACAGATTTAACTTGGCCTTCCCTTCCCATGTTTGTTTGCAGTATAAAGAAGAGGGCAGCCAGGTAACCAGTTATTGCAACGAGACGATGCCCGGGTGGGTGCATGACGTGCTGGGCCGGAACTGGGCTTGTTTCACCGGAAGGAAGGTGGGAACTGCCTCTGAAAATGTATATGTGCACACAGCACATCCTAAGAATCTACGGGAAAAGTGAGTTGTCACAAGTGAGACATACATTTATTAATAGTTTTTGTTTTATAGTATATAAGGATATGTGTATGTTCTTGGAATTTTATTTTGATTTTATAAAATATATTTGGTTTAGAAACATAAGCTGTGTTATATAAAAGTTTACTGGAAAAATATGTTAAACGATGTAATTGAGAGAAGAAAGTATTTTTTCCAAAGTGTTCCAAAAGTAATGGACCAATGATGCCTTTTAAAAAAAAAAATCAGATAAAGGACCACAGAATTGTAAATTACTAATAAAGGAAGATCATTTTATTGGCTGTCATGTAATAGCATGTTGCATAATACTGTAGATACTTAGTTTTATATTGCAGCAAATGTAGGTAATACTAATTTGAACAAATTTTAAATAATTAGTAACTGAAATCAAAGTTCTTAGAATTTATACAGTATATTAGATTGCTAGGTCTGCCATAATAAAGTAGCACAGACTGGTGGCTCAAACAACAGAAAGTTATTTTCTTACAGTTTTGGAGTCTAGAAATCCAATGTCAAGGTGTTGCCAGATTTAGTTTCTTTTGAGGCTACTCTCCTTGGCTTGCAGATAGCTGCTTTCTTGCTGTGTCCTTACATACTGTGTTTCCCTGAAAATAAGACAGAGTCTTATATTGATTTTTCTTCAAGAAGACACCCTAGAGCTTATTTTCAGGGGATGTGTTATTTTTTTTAAGTACAGTACAACAATCTACATTTATTCAAATATAGTTAAGGCATCTTCTTTTGGAACGTCATCATAACTCTCCAAACCCTGAATTCCATCCTGAATTTCTTGCAACTCTATTTCCTTTAGAACCATTGGCCCCAATCTCTCATGTCAAGCAGTAGAGCTCTCATGGGGCAGACGAGAAGGGCTGCTCCTCTTCTTTACCACTCTGTGACGAAATGCATGGGTTGTGCAGATATGCTGCGTAGCCGTGCTGTCACTAGGTCTTATTTTCGGGTTAGGGCTTATATTGCACACATGCTTAGAAATCCTGCTAGGGCTTATTTTATGGGTAGGTCTTATTTTCGGAGAAGCATGGTAGTCATTCCTGACTTTATCCTAATGACCTCTTCTTATAAGAACCAGTCATATTGGATTAGGGCCCACCTTTATGACCTCATTTTACCTTAATTTCCTCTTTAAAGCCCTATCTCTAAATATAGTCATATGCTTAGGTATGGGGAGAGGGGGGAGGAGGTTAGGAATAGTGGGGGGAGGCAGGACCACAATTGAATCAGTAACATGCAGTTAATATTTTTTTGTTAAATTAAGTCTACTATAAGTAGTTGTGAACCACACAAACTAGAGATTTCAAGCAAGACTGTATTATTTTTGGAAAGAAGAGATGAACAAATTACTACCTTTTCTATTTAGTTGAGAAAGCCCCCGAAAGTATATATGAGCAAATTATCCAAAGCCAGGCAATACTGGCAATGAATGGCTGCAGCAGAGAGGTAAGGGAGATGATTTACAAGGGAATGAATTGGCGGCAAAAGTACTGAATAAGATACTAATTTATCCCCTTCATTTTGAGATTAGTTTTAAATAGCTTTGTTTGGCTTGATTCTTGAACAGCACATTTCCTGACTAAGCCGTTCACTTTTCACCCTACTGTTTAGGATATACTATGTATTAATACTATTGTACTCTATTTGGTATTTCAAACATTGTATCGTTTAGTGAAAAACCTCCTAATTGGAGTGCTCTGGACCTACATTGCCTCCCTGTACAAGGAGTGTTTGGGACTAAATTCCCTTTGAGGTCTCTTTCAGCTCTTAATGATCTATTATCTCATAGCAAGGTTCAGTATTTTTAATCTCCTTAGATCTTAAACACCAAAAATAATAATGTTTAAGACCCATGGTGGCATCATGTCATTACTGTAATGCATATATCAGCACATGAGGGTTTGCTAGATGTTATGATAAAGCAAGGAAAGTAGAGCTACCTACTGTTTCACAAACACCTACAGCCAATGACATATTGACTCCTATTAAGGGAAAATACTTTTTAAATGTCTTATTTACAAATAATTTACTCTTGTGCCTAGAGAAACAATGAAACAACTATAACTTGTTTTTGTTATGTTAGTGTACTCAGAAATATGATACAGGCAGCTTTATAATCTGTTTAATAAAGGTACCTCTCTGGTTTCACACTTTGCAACAAGTGGGAAAGAGTCTATTCAGCTATAAGAAACAATGGTGATATAGCACCTCTTGTATTTTCCTGGATAGAGCTGGAACCCATTCTATTAAGTATCCCAAGAATGGAAAAATAAGCTCCACATGTACTCACCAGCAAATTGGTTTCACTGATCAACACCTAAGTGCACATTATAGGTATAACATTTATCAGGCTTCGGGCAGATGGGAGGGGGGAAGAGGGGATGGGTATATACATACACAATGAGTGCAAGGCGCACCATCTAAGGGATGGACACGCTTGAAGCTCTGACTCTGGGAGGGAAGGAGGAAAGGCAACACACATAACCTAAACATTTGTACCCTCATAATATGCTGAAATAATAAAAACAAACAAACAAAAAAACATGAATGTAGTTGCCCATTTTGCTCATTATTTTCATTGTTCTCAGGTTCTCTGACCATATCAAAATACTCTCCCTACAAATGTGAATTATAAGAGAATGAAAAGTTCACAGTATGCCTAAAATATACTGTGGACAGTAACAGAGTCATAGCTGGGTACAGGAAGATGAAACTCAGGTTAGATATCTCTTGTTTTGCATAATTGGGTGTTTATAGAAGACTTGGAGAGTGAGTCACACTCAAACCACAGAATCCTGTGTTATAGGGCTAATATGGTGAGTTCTTTACTGCTTGGCGTCTTGCACATAGATGTAATAAATGTTTGAATTAAGTGAATAATCAACTCCGTCAATCTTTTTTTCTTTGTAAACTTGCTGTTTGTGTGTGAGATTTATTTATGTCTGTATGCAACATTTGGTATAAGGTAAACCAGTGCTTCTCAGATTTTAATGTTACTGTGAATCACTTGGTGATCTTGTTAAAATACAGATTTGATTCAGGTGGTCTGTGTTGGGCACTTAGCATCTGCATTTGTAACACACTCCCAGGGGCTGCTGCTGATACTAATTTAAGAAATACATTTTGAGTAACAAGTATAAACTAAACATCCACATGGAATAACATTTTTTGTATCATGTGGTTATAATGCTTGCATACTATATATACATTGCATACACTTTGTGTTCTCTTTTTTCTTATTATTATTACAAAGGTTATAAAAGTGTTCTGTAGAAAATGTAGGGAGTGGGTAAAAGGTGGTGATTATATGCTACCACTCAGAGATAACCATAATTGGCATTTAAAAAAGATATTTATAGTATAGATATGTATACTTTTATAAAAACTAATTGGTTATAATTCTATATAAACTTCTTTGATTTCCTTGTATATTTCATATAGTGTATATTTCACATTCCTCCATATCATTAAATGATCTTCTAGATATTTTTATTGAATAAATTATATAGTAAATGAAGTATGATTATTTAATAAATCCTTTATCTGAGAACATTTATTTAGGTTGTTTACAATCTATTACTAGTACAAAGGTGTTTCCTTGACTATCCTTATACATATATCTTAGTCAACTTGAATTTTTATTTTCAGAGAAGACATTCCAGGATATTCCAGGATATTGATTCCTATTGCCAGTTGCCTTCCTGAAAGATTATACCACTTCCCACTTAGGCATAGCCTGTAAGAGTGCCCATTTTAATTAGATCTATGTACTTCAGTAAAGACCATATCTGAAACTATCTCACTTTTGTTGGCAGGTATTCCAGTAGCCTCTACAAATACAACCACAACTTTGTGAAAGCTATCAATGCCGTTCAGAAGTCTTGGACTGCAACTACCTACATGGAATATGAGACTCTCAGCCTGAGAGATATGATTAGGAGAAGTGGTGGCCACAATCAGAGACTCCCAAGGTAATCAAGCATATATCTTTATTGCTGATAAAAAAATTAATGTTGAATGCTATCCTCCCTCCCAACCAGCCCTACCTTGGTTGCCCACCATTTTATTGTTCATCTCAGTTTAAACTTATGTTACTTTTTTTTTTAACTACTTCCCCTCCTATTCATACATGTTTGATTCCAAGTCCTATTTATGGGTTTTTCTTTCACAGTGTCTGTTGTTTCTATTACTCCCTTTCCATTTTCTATATTCTGCCATAGGGCTTTGTCATGTCTCTTGGATCTCTTTGCCTCATGTCCTCATTTTTAGCTGTTCTGTGATATACTGCCATTTTCATCTTCCTATACTCAGTTATAAAATTTCCTGTCTACTGTCTAATGAATAAATTTAACCTGGTATCCAAAGTCATCTAAATATGACCATACCTATATTTACTACTTTGATCTGCTTTCAAATAATATGACACACAATTAGTGAAAACTTTCATTTTACCCCCAGTCTTGTTGCTCTCTTTGCCTCAGATATCTCTCAACTTGCTTACAATAGCTGTCACATGTGCCACCTGTAAAATATCACAAACTCCTCTATGTGCTTAAAGGTCTAGCAAAGGAAAAAAGGTTATTTATCAATATAGCTCTACTACCCTTAGCCAGAGGAAGCATTTTCCATCTTTACCTTACATCCCCCATGGTATATTTCTTACTTTGGGAAATTATGACATAGTACTTTGAATTTTTCTAGTCAGGAATTTGGATCAATTTTTTTCATTTCCTCAAAACTATAGCTGGACCTAGAAAAGAGTATGTAGTTCCTTAACATTTGTTAAATGGCCAAGGATAGTCCTATGATGCCATAGCTTCCTTTAAGATCATAATGATTAAAGGGTACTAGAAAGCAAGCAATAGTGAGCTAATGGAAGTTGATAAATGGTGTGAGTAGGTTATTTTCCCTTAGTACATTGAAATATTCTCCAATTCTCAGAAAATACAATGGTTAATTTCCTAGTATCTACAGAGTCCATGGTTTGAATGTTTATTATTTGCACAGGCCACTAATTGATGAATTACTCAATTAACTCTAATGCATTACTTTTTCATCTGCAGACTGATAGTAATGATGTGGCATTTTTTGACTGTTACACTGTATGGAGATGCTCTAGTTTATCAAAATTGGGAAAGGGAGCATATTGTTTCCCCTTCTCAGATTCACTAAAGTGGAGTTCTAAAGTGTCTGTATGAGATAGAAGGTTGAAACTTATTCAACAACAAAATCAAGCTTTAAGAGGCGGAGTGTTAGTAGTTGATCCTAGCGAGATTGGCTTCTGCCTGAGAGGGGTGGTGAGCCTCAGACACAGCTGCTTTGCCTCGTGTTATGTGTCCTGCCATGTTTCTGAGGAACTCTTTTGTGCTGAGGCTGTCGTCTACCTGTAGCCAACCACTTTTGTTGTAGACAACAGCTAGATTTACAAAAGATTGCTTTTTTGACTAAAGCTCTATCTATATTTAAGATAAAGAGATGGAATTGAGTGACGTAAGAAACATTAAAGAGAGATTATTGTCTGGCTGCCTGATTTTCAATAACATTTTTGTATATAAGTTAGTTATTTTGTAAGAATTCAAGGACATAATAGAAACTTTCAAAGGTTCTTAACCTGAGGTATATGTAGGAAGTCTGTGAAACTGCTGAAATTATAGACAAAATTTATTGTTTATGGGTATCTCTCTAAGTCCAGAACTTTCACCAGATTCCTAAAGAATCTGGGCCCAAAAGATTAAGAGCCAGTAATGTATAGTATACTTAAAATATCTGTAAATCTCACCTCTCCATCACCCAAACTCCTCCTTCTCTCTCTTCATTTCCATACCATTAGGCCTCAGTTCTCACATTGCTCTTATTTTGTTTGTGTGTGCATTGTTGGGTAAGTGCTCTGCCTTACTGGATGGTAGGAACAAGGAAGTTAACATTTAAATGCCTGTTTTGTGTCAGATAATTGCTTAAACATGTCAGCATCTTATTGAGTCCTCTTAAGGACATGGAGGATGATGATGGTAGTTATCATCATAATAGCTGCCATTAATTAATGGTGTAAAAAGACAGGCACTGTTCTAAGCATCTGTTAACCATTATTGCATTGAATTTTCATAACAACCCTTTGAGGTAGGTATGATTATACTCATTTTAATAGAAGTGAACTGTAGTTTTACTTCTTTAAAAGAAGTAAAACTTCTTTTAATAGAAGTTTTAACCAGCTAGGTATCCTTCTTAAATTCTCTGCCAAATGTCACACAGATAGTAAGTGGTGAAGCCTTTTGTAACAGATTGGTATGACTCTAAGATATATGCTTTGAAATTATATTATGCTGCCAAACTTAAATTTCTCTTTTATCCTTTTTATTACTTAGGATATTCTTAGGAATATACAAGACAACTAGTTTATGGGTATTTAATGATTGAATTTTCTAGTCTCTGTGATACCAGGTGATACACACAAACACAAAATTTGCACCCTAGTTTTTATCCACAAATATGAGAAAAATGTTCAGTGTTTGTTTTTTGTTTTTTCTGCCACCCTATATATAAAATTATGCATGGTACATAGATTTTTATGTGCCTTGGTTATTCTTTGGGCATTATCCATGTTGCGTGTTTTATAACATTACTGTAACATCTTTGTTTTTATTATAGTAATTTTTATATATTTCATCCTTAACATTATCTTCCATATGGTCAAATGTATATATATTTTTTCATCTATGGTCCTGGCTCATGACTCCCACAACCCTTGTTATAATATTGGGGCAATTTAGGCCTTAGAAGCAGATCTCAGAAAACAGAATCTCTCTTTGTGATGCTCGCCTACCCTCCTTTCACCTGGAGGAAGGAATGCTACACAGAAAGGCCAAGAAGAATCTGAACAGGCAGGCCTTGCTGGGTTTGCCCACTCAGTCTGTTAGTATTAGATCATACCCTTTTGGTCCAATCACATTTTTACATGGTAATCAATCATCCCTATCCAATGAAATGTCCATAAAAGGTCCAAAAGGACAGGATTTGGAGATCTTTTAGATAGCAGAACACATGGAGGTTCCTGGAGGGTGGCACACCCAGGGAGGGCATGAAAGCTCTGCAATCCTTCCCCTCTACCTCACCTTCTTTATCTGTGTCTTTTATAATATTCTTTATAGTAAACTGGAAAGTGTAAGTGTTCTTCTGAGTTCTGTGAGCCACTCTAGCAAATTAATTGAACCAAAGGAGATTTTTATGAGATCCCCAATTTGTAGACAGCTGGTGACAAGCACAGGTGGCACAACCTGGGGCTTTTGATTGACATTGGAAGTAGGAGGGCAGTTTTGTGGGACTGAGCCCTAGACCCATGGGATCTGACAGTATCTCCAGGTAGACAGTGTCAAAATTGGAGGACACCCCCTAGTGTCTGCTGCAGAATTGATTGCTTGCTTGGTGTGTGAGGAAAAACCTCCACACATTGGGTCACATTTGTCTTCTGTGTTGATTATTGTTGGTGTTGTTGAGTGAAAGAATTAAAAAACACAGTTTGAGTTTTTTCCTCCAAAACAGTCTCTCAATGTGAAACCACAGAAAATTTCCATTCAAAATTTGTTTGCACCCTAGTTTGTATTCATAAATCTCAGAAGAAACAATCAATGATTGTTTTTTTTCTGCCACCCTATATGTAAAATTATGAATGGTGCATAGCTTTTTATGTGCCTTGGTTATTCTTTGGGCATTATCCATGTTATGTGTTTTACAACATTACTGTAACATCTTTGTGGTTGTTATCGTGATTTTTATATATTTCATGTTTACCATTATCTTCCCTTGGTCAAAGACCCACCTCATGCTTATCTCTATATCATATAGATCTTTAACCAATATCCCTGGCTCATGAAATATTTTAGTGAACAATTAATTGACATTTCTGTATAAAATATGCTCTCTGTTCTATACAAGTTGTCAAGGTTATGATTGCTACTCTACTCCTGAGTGAATTGTTCACTTTGTTTTGTTTTTTCATCTGATGTCCATTTTGTCATCATATTAACCTGTGTCATCCCTAAGAGAAGTGTGTGAGAAACAGAACCACTTGTGAGCAGGTGCAAAGGGCATGAGGTAGTACAGAAAGAATCTTTGCCAGTGACTGAATTGGAACCCAGTAAAATCCATCCTGGTAACCACTGAGAAATGCTAAGAGTGTAGTATGGCAATGCCAAGGTGAGTAAGAAATTCAAATAGTTTATAGTAACAGAAGAAATAAATGTTACCATAGTGTTACAGTAGTACCCTAACAAAAGAGTTGAAGGAGTGTAGAGAGAGAGGAACTAGCCTGATGATTGAAATCATGGAATTCGAGGCCAGGATATCATCCACAAAGGAAAGGCTATATTGTTGATGTCAAATGTATTCCTTTCTAGGCCCAAACCTGCACCCCTGACTGCTGAAATACAGGAAAAGATTTTGCATTTGCCGACATCGTGGGATTGGAGAAATGTTCATGGTGTTAATTATGTTAGCCCTGTTAGAAACCAAGGTAAAAAACAGAAAAAGTCTGATTTTTCATTAATTTATTCTGAACTATTTATTGGACATTTGCTATGGGTCAGGCTCTAGGGATGTATTTTGGGGATATATAGATAGCATGATCATGATCCACTTTAGTAAAGAAATGAAAATATATGGCCTAAGAATCCTCACTTTTTCCTTTTGTATCCATGACAGACTTTGGTAATAGATGATTTTTCCAACTCACCATTCCAGCTCACCATTTCTTTATTATTCTGTATTTATGTTTTAGGTAGATAGTGACAATCAGAGTGATATATAAGAGAAACTCACTTGCCCTCCTAGTAGGAGAGAATCCTGTGGAAACGAAGAATTGTATGCAATTAAAATTGGTCTTACTTCTGCAGATTGTTTGCTGCAATCCTTCTTTGCTGCCCATTCTTCCATTTCTGCCATCTTTTTGTCTTTTTTACTACATGAGCCCAAAGAGTAGATCTTTAATATTTTTTTTCTGTTAGATTTTTTTGAGCTGTGTAAGGACCTTTCAAATCACTTTACATTAGAATATACTATGGGATGATAAGTATTAACCCAGCTTCCTGAATGGTGGCCTGGGGCATAGCCCAGGTTTGTCAAAAGTATCACTGTCATTACATTTTACTAGTTATTTTCAAAAATTTGATGGATTAAAGATTAAAAATCTTTAATTAAAGATTAAATCTTTAATTAAAGATTAAAAATCTATGAGTTGATTTAATAACACTTCCTCGAAGTGCACTTAGATAGCAAATAATCTTGTTATACTAAGTTTTAGCCAACAGTGACTTGGAGAATCATTTATGTAGTGCTCAGGTTTATTACTTCTAAGCACATTTTGAAGATAATAGTATAGTACACATGACTGATTTGTTACTATAAAATAGATATGGTATTTGCTATCTGGAAACATTCTGGTTAGTGTCTCCTGGGAGGATTATAAATTTATAATATCTAAAGATAAATTTTCTTCTCTTTTTCTAAAAATGCGGTGATAATCAGCCTTTCCTTCCTCTCAACATTGTCACCTGCCCTTCAAGCTCATTCTTTATTGAATTCTTGCAGTCTTACCCCAAGCAGGTCTCGTGCCAGGTGGTCAGTAAGATTGAGGAATCCTTCACCTGCCACCAGGAAGTTTCATCTCTTTGCCTTTTCTACCCATTGTTCTGGGACTCTTCAGGTGTAGAGATAGTGTAGATCTTGAAATCCTTTTCTACCTTCTTGATTTCTTGGGGAGGTCTTTTTTAGACAGGTAGGACTGGAAATGAAACTAGTTTGAAGGTAATTGAGAAATGAATGGAAAATGAAATTAAAGGGTTGATGTTAGGAAAAGATTAAAAATTACCCTATTCCTATGTGAGAGGATTAGTAAATGATGCATATGACTTGATTATTGAGGGCCTGGCACATCATGATTAACACTCCATAATGTGAACTACTAATATTGTTGCTTCTGTTGTGTATAGAACATCTAATATGCATTAGGATTTTTTTTTTAATGGCAGAGTCTATAAAGACTAATATGATAGAGTCCTTGTCCTGGACACTTGCAGTTTAGCAAGACATGCAATAGAAACATTAAAGTATAATATAATTGCTTTAATAAGGTGTTTTTAAAATTCAGTGGGAGCATAGGAGAGGGTAGAAAGAAAAATTTAGTTATACTCCCTTTCCAAAAGATATGATCAATGAGTGATAGGAGGTAATAATTAGAAGGAAGGAAGGAAATTAGACTTTCTAAAGCTAAATTCTTTGACTTTGGTTTTCTTGTAGCTTGGTAAAAGCTATTATTGTCTCCAGTGTTCCCTATTCTCTCACTGTTATAAATATGATTTGTACAGACAATGGCAATTTAAAAACAGAGAGCTTTGGTGGAAATTAATTGCTTTTGAATTGATCCCTCATCTGTAGTATCTTGTCAAATACTTGAGAAAATAGTGTACTTAGAGGTTCTTCTTTTGACTTCCTTTTAGTTTTCTGTACTGTAGGTTGGGAAAAAAACTAATTGTTTTCTCTTCCTGCTCATTGGACTGCTTGGAAATTTCCACCAACTTTACCATTATCGGTGTGTTTTATAACCCAAGACTCAGAATTAGCTGTAGTTAAGGGGATTCACAGCTGTTCTTTATTTGGGGAGCAAATTGAGATTAAAGGAAAAAGAAATATTGAGAGGACAAATGTGGTTTTACCTTTAAACTTGAAAATAGCTTTAAGAACAAGCCTTACAGCAAGATATTTACTTTGAGGTGTGAGATGGAAGAGAAGCTAGAAAATTGGGAGAGATGGACTTTCTTTGTTCTTCCCCCAGCTGTGCTGTCTTTATTTATTATTGAATCTGCAAGAGAGAAGAAGAGTGTCTCTCATGGGTCACATTAATTAGGAAATGCAGATTGTTTTCCTAATGTTTAAAATCTAGTCCACTTAAGTCTTGGTTCTAAATTATACTGTTAGAGCAGGAAGACAGAGACCTTAAACTGTCTACTCCATCTGATTGATTTTATGCATATGATAAAAGGAAATGCCAAAAAGGTCAAGTGACTGTCACAGGGTCACATAGCTAATAAGTGGCAAAGTGAGAAAGGAGGGGAAAAAAAGAGAATCCTGCCTTCTCACTCCTAGTTCAGTGTGTTTTCCACTGTTGGAAGATATAACTGAACAAAGTTATACCATATGTAAATCACATTATCTATTTGAGATTGTAGAAATTTGATTACTGCAGAGCTCCGGCTGGGCGAGATCCACTTCTTATTCTTTATTGCATTGTAGTCTTCTTAAGGGGTAATGGTTCTTTTAAAATCTAGACTACCCTTGCTTTTTGAAACGAGGCACTAATTACTTTGGTAGCTGACACATTCTTTTGGGAAAGTCAGGGGCTTGGGAAAGGTTATCTCCTTTCCTCATTCCTGTAATTGCTTTTTAAACAGAGCACATTCTGAGCCCTTGAATGTACTTGTGGTCCATCTCTCCCACAGTACCTTATGGACAGATAGTGATGGTTTAATGGCTAATACTATTAAAGAGAGATTATTTTTATAGCTATAATGGGCCAAGAAAGCTGAATGGCCAAAAAGGACCCTTTTCAGACTCCCTTCAATGTGTTATTTCTTATAAGACCTTGGTGTCTCCTGAAGGGAACACTGGCTTTGTCTACTTACTCACTCGTCTAGTTCTTTGATATCCCACCATAGGAAAGATGGGTCCTAAGGATAGCATTGTTTGGACATTTTGAAAACAAATGGTTAATTTTGTTCTATCTAGTGACTACATGATGGGGAAAAAATATCTGAAAATTTCTTGAAATAGGTACAGACCTGTAAACAGGAGAGAACACTAATCCTGCATTAGGAGATGAGAAGACACTAGCCCCTGCCATCTGTTAGCTGTGTGATCTTGGACGGGTCATTGCTTCTTTCTGAGCCTCAGTTACACATTATCGAGGAGTAGTTTGTACACTAGATGAATTCTAAGCCCCCCTTCCAAGTGCTTCTCTACTAATCTTCATAATTTAGATGATTCCTCAGCAGCAAAAGGAATATATGGTATGGATCAATCTGATATCTTTAGGGGTAGAACTTTAAAGTAAATAGTAGTCAGAAATAGTAGTTAAGAGTAAATAGGGCTCTAACAGACTCTAGGTGCAGGACCTTGTGGTATTGTTGAACTATTTGGAGGATTTTTAACAGAAAAACTTTAGACAAATTAAATTTAACAAAGTTTAATTGAGCAAAGAACAGTTTATGAATCAGGTGTTGCCCCAAACCAGAATAGGTTCAGAATGATTCTGGGGTGTGGTCAGAGAGGATATATGAACAGAAAAAGGAAAGTGGGTGTCTAGAAAACTTAAGTAAGGTACAGAAACAGCTGGATTGGTTGCAGCTCAGCATTTGCCATATTTGAACACAGTTTGAATAGTTGGCTTTGATTGGCTGAAACTTGGTGATTGGTAAAAGAGTAGGTTATAGTTGTTTACATAACCACTTGGGTTACAGTTCACTATGTACGGAGAAGCCTTTAGGCCAAACTTAAAATATGTAAGGAGGCAGCTTTAAGCTAAACTTATTTTAACAGGAGGTTCATATTAGGATCTAGGCTTCTGCCTTCCTTGTGGCTTGGAAACAAGTAAAGGTTGACTCTTTCCATTGAATTCACTTTATTTCATGGATGTAAATATATATTTACTTGTTCATTTCTTGACTCATTCTACAAACACACATCATTTGTGTTAGGCACCAAGACAAAACACATGTCCTGTGAACTCTCAAAAAATTCAGTTTGGTTTGAGAAAAACAATGTAAGTCCTTCAAACAGAGTTCACAGTATTAAAGGCTAAGCATAGTGGCCTAGCTTTACTTTGCCTCAGAGAGGGACAGACATTAGCCGTTACCTGGAGAAGGGAAATCAGCAGCCCTCATAGTACTTTGAATGCATAATTTTCTTTTGAATACTTTTCTCTCTAAAGAAAGCAGTTACTAAATTACTAAATTCAGATTTACTAAAGAGACTTTTTTTTATGTATAATGAGTTTTTTGAATTGTATAATTGACTGTTCATAAATCTTATTTTACATTCATAAGGGAATGCTCACCATTCAAATAATCTGGTAAAACTAATATATTAGTACAGTAAATAGAATGACATACCAATTATGTAGAACTGGGTTTAATACAACTGTCTTGGATTTGGTACAAGCATATCTCCATAGAGAATTTGTGTTAGTGGCAGAAGTAAAAGAGACTAATAATAGAGATATTAAAATTATGCTCATTTCTTTCTGGAATTGTAACAAGTGCAAATCCCAGTGCTGTTGTGTATATGCCATATTTTCTTATATGTATTTCTTTTACCCATGCATTTTGAAGAAACAGAACAATAATATTGTTCATATAAATTATTTCATAACACAACATTTTTCCTTTTCTTGAAATAGCAATTGCATTCCTAGCAGATGCTTCTTAAGTAAATTTACTGTGTCCTTGCCAGAGCATCCAGGTGTTAAATAAAAGGGTTTTCTGTTCCCTTCTCACCCACCTCCTTTCAGCTACTTTTCATCTTCCTCTGACCCATGTCTTAACTTCCTCTCTGTCTACCTTAAATACCAAATTCATCATTATAATTATTCTTTTGCCTTTCTAGGCTTTGTTGCATTTTTTTTTTTTTTTTTTGCCTTCTTTACTTGGGTTAAGTCTAATGCTTTACAACACATCCACACCCGAGTCATTTTTAGGGTTAGTTTCACCCAAAATGCTTTGGAAAATACTTCTTGTCTTAGTCTTTTTGGGGTTGCTATCATAAAGCATTACATACTGGGTGGCTTATATAGAAATTTATTTCTCACAGTCCTGTAGGGTGGGAAGTCCAAGGTCAAGAGCCAACAGATTTGGTGTTTGAAGAGGGCCCACCTCCTGGTTCACACACAGCTGCCTTTTCTCTGTAACCTCCAATGGTGGGAGGCCTGAGAGATCTCTCTTGAGGACTCTTTTATTACAGCACTAATCCCAAAGTCATCTCCTAAAGGTCCCACCTCCTAATACCGTCACCTTGGGTGTTGGCATTTCAACATAAATTTGGGGGGGGACATAAACATTCATTTCATTGCATCAGACATATTTAAAAGTGCAGCTCGCACATGTCCCTCCACAGTTTTTTCTCAACCTGATGGCTCAGAACGTTGTAGACATAAAGTCTTTTTTCATTATCAACAATACTGTCAGATGCTTCTTAGAAGTTAGGAGAGGTTTTTTTTTTCTTGTAAAACATTCTCAAAAAAAAAATCCCATATAGTAATGTGTTTGCCCTTTAATGAAAAGAATGAAATCTTAATGTTTGTAAGCTCAACAGTGTTTGTTGATTGAATCTTCAGTATTGTGCTGATCCTTAACAAACAGCAACCACATTCGGTGTAAATATATTAGTTTTTCTGATCCACTCAGGTTTCTGTGTATGATTCTTTGTAAGGCTTCAAATGTTTCTTGGATTGTATATGTTTCTTTTCTATCTTCAGGATCTTGTGGCAGCTGCTACTCATTTGCCTCTGTGGGTATGCTAGAAGCAAGAATCCGTATACTAACCAACAATTCTCAGACCCCAATCTTGAGTCCTCAGGAGGTTGTATCTTGCAGCCAGTATGCTCAAGGTAAGTGTTGCATTTCAGGCACTATCTTATGAGCTGTTTACCTGTGTGCAGTTGGCCATTGTTTGCAAAGGCAAAAGGGTGGTATAACAGAGCATAAAGTCCATAAGCTATGTATGAGGCTTATGGATGTAAACCTCTTTCATACAGTAAGAGGCTTAATGTATGTAAGCCTCTTACATACACTACCTACCTATGTTTAAAACTCTGAGAAGTAAGTATAGTTCCTATTCATAGACAGGGAACAGGAACAAAGAAGTTTTATAATATTTGGATAGTCACATAGCTTTTAAGCATTGGGGTTTCAGCTCCAACCACAGTCTCGCTCCAAAACCCAATTCCCCTTAAAATCATACTAACCACTGGTTTCTCTTTAGGAGAATTTTTAAATTCTATGCTTAGTCTTTTAGAACAGGCCATATGTAATATATGTAGAAAACCCAGCTATAGTTGATTTTGGGGAAAACATTATCATTTTAAAGTTTTCTTTAGCAAAAGCAACAATAGCTACCTTTTATTGTTTTTACATGAATTATTACCATCTGTATTTTATAGATAAGTAAACAGAGGTACAGAGAAGTTAAATTCTTCACACAGCTTTAGATTTGAACTGATGTAGGATCCAGAGCCATCCCACTTAACCACCATGCCATAGCTACCTCCATATTAGGTACTAAATAAATACATGTTAAATAGATGGGAGTGGGGGTAGTGAATGGATACTTAGCTAGACAGATGACTGAAGTGACATGTGAGCTAAGGACAACTTCCATGGGCAACATATAAAGAGTAACAGAGCGGAGAAGAAAAATAAGAAATGAGACAATTTCTCCTGTGCCCTTTTCTAATAAGGATTAGTTAATAACCATGTGTGTTGTTCATCCTCAGGCTGTGAAGGTGGCTTCCCATACCTCATCGCAGGGAAGTATGCCCAAGATTTTGGGCTGGTGGAAGAGAACTGCTTCCCTTACACGGGCACCGATTCTCTGTGCAAAATGAAGAAAGACTGCTTGCGTTACTATTCCTCTGAGTACCACTATGTGGGAGGTTTCTATGGGGGCTGCAACGAAGCTCTGATGAAGCTTGAGCTGGTCCACCATGGGCCTATGGCAGTTGCTTTTGAAGTCTATGATGACTTTTTCCACTACCACAAGGGGATCTACCACCACACGGGTCTGAGAGACCCTTTCAACCCCTTTGAGCTGACGAATCACGCTGTTCTGCTCGTGGGCTATGGCACTGACTCAGATTCCGGGATGAATTACTGGACTGTTAAAAATAGCTGGGGCAGGAACTGGGGTGAGGATGGCTACTTCAGGATCCGCAGAGGAACCGACGAGTGTGCCATTGAGAGCATAGCAGTGGCAGCCACACCAATTCCCAAATTGTAGGGTGTGCCACCTAGCATCTCATACCGATCACTGTCAGTCATAAAAGGGATTGGTTTATTTACAGACTGGAGACTTACAGCGGGAATTTCAGAAGCTTACACTCAGATTGCTGTGAAGATTGTTGTCTTTAAAATTCAAGCCATCCTTAATTTTAATCTACTTTCCTATGAAGCACTGGCCTACTTTTTTCTAAGTATTCAATTAAATTAGAATTTTATGAGAGATGGTGAGCTGTGAAGTAATGGGTTTTGCTTAATCACTTGTAATTCAAACAGATGTTATATTTTTTAAAAAAAAATCTATGTGAAAACAGACTTATTTTTAAATTTTATCAATCAAAAATATGGCAATGATTATTAAAATGTTTTAAGCTTTTTAAATAAATAGTGTATGTTATAAAGTTTATGTGTACTTAAGGGAATATTTACCATTGATTCTTTCAGTTGGATTCACTTAGAATACCCATGTAAGTATTCCTTTAAGAAGGGAAAGTGAATGAGGCTATTTCAATTAAAAACAAAACTATGAATCTTTATGATGGGAGTTATAATCAGATAATGCCCAGTGAACCCTAAAGTCATTCCTGGATATTTGAGCCAGAGGTCACAGGGAAAATAAATTAGAATTTTTGGTACAATCTACATATTGGTTAAACTATTTCTTATGATGTGTATCTTGCATTTGAGAGTATTGGTTAGTCTTCATTAGGTGAGTAGTAATAGCTTAATGAGTGGAATATTAGTAATTTAGATTTAGATAGATATTTTAGGATCTGCCTGGGATATTTCACAGTGGTATGAAACCTATATGCAGAGTAAACAGATGACATCTATTAAAGGTGACATGACAGGAATTAGGCAATCAGAGATGTAAGACATAAACAAGAACCACAAACATTTTGGAGCTGAAAGGAACCACAGAGGTTATGCAATATAACCTCTGCACAGATTGAGACTGAAGTTTAGAAATAGGGCAGGTGATTTGTCCAAGGTCATAGAGCTGGTAAGTAGTGGAGTCATAATTAGAACCTAGATCTTCTAAATCCAGTTCTCCTTGAACACCTTAGAGCTCTGAATCTCAGCCATTGCCATCAGAGTATCCCTAATCACCAGAAATACTAGCTGCATACTTAGAAATTTCACCTTGACATTTTGAATCTGAGAATTTTGTCTTAAACCCATGTATTTTCTGCATTGTCTATAGTGATATTTTTATTATCCTTAAACTGAAGTGGTGCTTCAGAAGTATGCACCATGTTTAAAGTGTGGCTTCTTGGACCTCCTGGTAGGCTGCCTCATACCTTGGACTTTTTCACCACACTGTGACACAGAAGCAGATACTCTGAATGGCAGGCATAGCCAGGCCCCTTATCATTGGAAAGTCTCTAACAATATACATTTCTGTTACCTGTTACTGATTAAATGTAAGTTTAGACCTACTTTATGTTCAGCTTTGCTGCTAGGTGAAAATGTAAACAGACTTCTGAAATCAAGCATGAATATTTTTTTACTCTTAAGATTTATAAAGTTACTAGCTGTCAGTTTAACAGACAAGATTTTATTGGACATGTAAGCATGAGTTTATCCTCTGGTTTTCTAGTTGGATGAGAGTCAGCTGACAACATCTGAGAACAACTCACAAAGACATAGAGCATTGGTATTTCTGCATGATTGCATAAGAGCCCTGACTGAGCTCTTCAGTAAGTTAATTACTGGCATTATTCACTTAATACTTTAGGAAATATTAAAAGGCTAAATACACGTGTGAACATAACTGGCTATGGGAAGCTAGATCTTACAAGCATGATTAGGTGAGGACAAGAGATGGTTTGAAGAGGTCCTGAGTTTTCAGAGATTGCAAGAGGAATTGCCCAAAACCAGAGCTCAAGTTACACTCCCTTCAACCTTGATTTATGTACTATAGCAATCTGCTTTGCCTGTTTCTGTAAGGTGACTTATTTCATATATATTGCAGAATTCATTAAAGACATATGATTAAACTGTTAAGCTATACAAAAAAGCGGCAGGTTTTAAGTATATAAGATTTGTTTATATCAGGGCTAATAGAATATATAACCAGAGTCTATTGACAAATTGAGCTTTAGAAAAAAGTGGGATGGCGCTGTGGCTAACTTCCCCAAAGATTCTCAGAAAATCTACAGGGATAAAGTGCATGCATGAGATCACAGGCCACAAAGAAAGAAAATAGTGTTTAGCTGGAGAGTCTAGCACAAGCATGACTCCGGAGCTTTAGTGCCTGGGTCAAGACTGCTGGCTCTGCCACTTTCTAGCCATGAAACCTCAGGCAGTTTCTTAACTTTTTTGTGCTTCAGTTTTTTCATCTGCAAAATAGAGATAATGGTATACATAACCTCTCACTGTCTCAAAGTCTTCCCCTCTAAACCCTTGCTATCGCATCAAGGGAACCAAATTGATTTGCATGTGCATTTTTTAAAATAAATTACTTGCTATTTAAGCTCAGGCTTTTCACCATCCCAAGTGGGGATACTAAAGGCAAGTAGAAATAATGCAGTTTTTTTGGCCATTGAATCTTGCTTACTGAACTCAGGAACTGAATAGATTTGGATGGTAAAGGATAGATGTACCTACTTCATAAAAGTTCTCTGAGGGCTAAATGCTTTTATATATGTGTGAAGTATGTAGAACAGTGCTTGGCATGTAGTAAAAAGTTTATAAATATTTTTACTGAAGTCATCTTTTTCTGAATTCAAATTATAAAATCTTTTAATATGCGGAAGCAACTAAAATGTGTTCTATAAATAAGCTATACCCCACTATGAGAGAACAAAGAAAGGACTTAATGAGATTGTTTTTTAAAAGGAGAAAAGGACATACAGAGGAACACTGGCACAGGAAACCCATAGAGAAAACCCTTCAAAAACTCTATGAATCAGGGAGATGATTTTTTTTGGTAATTCAGAGTTTTGACGTACTTCCCGATTATTGTTTGTGTTCTCCCTGCGGCAAGGAGAGAACAAGTCTGAGAGATGCTGGAGCGTGGAACGCTATAGCAGAGATGAGTAACTGGACCAAGACAGGGAAAAGTCAGTGCAACTTTGAAGCACAAAAGACTAAGGTTAATCTAAAATTGTAACAATTTGATTTTCCTACTCAGGCTCTAAACAGCATTAGGATAAAGTAAGCTTAATTGATCCACATAATATTCATGCTGGAAGTTTATCTTGTCCACCTCTGTCATTGACAATAGACCACAAGAGGTAAAGCAACATCCCTGAGCTTCCAGCTAATAAAGATAAATCTAGACCTAAATATGTCCAGAACTTTGTACTGTGCCTGCTGCTGCCTCCCTGTTAAGAAAAATGGTGAAAGAATGTTTCCATTCTTCCTAAATGTTGTGTAAATGCTGTGAGAGCAATAACTTCACCTTGTTCTGTGAAATCATTTCTAAGACCTTTTCCAGCCCTCAGAAATCCTGTTCATACTTCTTGGGGACAAGTACTCAAGTGCCAATCCATGTGTGGTTGGAAGGTTTAACGGTTTTCCTCTAAATATAGTAATGGGAATCTATATCTCTTCACTACTCTAATAAAGGTTTAGTTTCGGTCTAAACTTAAGTATTAATAGAAACTTCCTGACCAAGTTTGGAGAGCTTTAGGAATATTGGATTCTTCTGCTCTGATGGTAAGTGTGTGTACTGGAAATTTTATCAGTGGTGGGTCAGTTAGCCACAAGGCCTAATGAACTATTAGCTGAAAAATATTGATCTCACTGAATTGTATTTCTGATTGAAAGTGTGAATTTGCCTGAAGTTGCCTGGGTGATAAAATAAATGCAACTTCAGTAGACCTTCCAGTCACAGTATGTTCTGGTGGTAGCAAACCAGAATTGCCAGAAATAACCTAAACTTTGGGCAGAAAATGCAACACATGCCTGGTGTCTTTCTTTTTCTTTCAGAAGTCCATTTATCAAGATCCCTGTTCTTTAAATGCCTTTTAAGAGTTAATAGAAGAAATTTAACCTCTCCTTTTCCAACTTTGAGGATGTGATACTATTGTAATACTTTGATTTTGAACTCTATGTCCTAAAACATAATTTGTTTTTTGAAATTAAATTTATAGGCTAAATGGGGAAAGAGTGTGATAAACTTTAAACTCCTCAAATTCAGAAAAAAATAGCACATTCGTTCCTTCCTCTAATGCAAAAGGCCTAAAAAGATTGAAATCCTAGCAATCAATTGGAAGAAATAAGTTGGAGAAATAACCTCCTCATGAGAAAATGAGGGAAATGCCATGAAGCTAAGGTGGTTGTGCATTAAAGTAATCATTGATGATTTATTTTTTTCTGTAATGTATTTTCTGAACCTTCAAAAGTATTGAATAGTTTCAGTGTAGTTTAAGATAAATGATGGAAAATGAATGCTTTTAGTATCAGCTTTTTATACCCCCATTGTCTCTTTTGTGAGGTTTCTGAAAAACTAAAAAGCCTACTTTTCCTTTAGATTGACTATTTCTATGCCATCATAAGAAATGAACACTTCCCAAGAGATAGCAGATATGATCCTAGTTCTGTGGGCTAAAATTCAGTTGAGTAAAAAGGATGATCCTACAGAGAAAAGTAAGCAAAATAGCATTGTGCAAATAGAGAACCCAGAAATAAATCTCTGTATTTATAGTCAACTGAGTTTTGACAAAGGCACCAAGAACATAGACTGCGGAAAGGATACCCTCCTCAATAGTGCTGGGAAAACTGAATATCCATATGCAGAAGAATGAAACTAGACCCCTGCCTCTCACCATATACACAAAGCAATTCATCATGGATTAAAAACTTAAATGTAAGACCTAAAACTATAAAATAACTAGATGAAAACATAGGAGAAATGCTCCAGCACATTGGTCTAGGCAAAGATTTTATGGCTACGACCCCAAAAGCACAGGCAACAAAACCAAAAATAGACAAATGGAATGATATTAAACTAAAAACCTCTGCGTGGCAAAGGGCAAAGAAAACAACAGAGTGAATGGAGAAAATATTTGCAAGCTATTCATCTGACAAGTAACTAATATGTAGAATATACAGGAACTCAACTCAAAAGAAAACAATTCCATTAAAAGTTGAGCAAAGGATCTGAATAGACATTCCTCAAAAGAAGACATGAAAATGGCCAACAGACATGAAAAAAATACTCAACATCACTAATCATCAAAAAAATGTGAATCAAAACTACGATGAGAAATATGA